GAATTTACGTAAGTTATAAGGACTAGTGACATCAGAACACGCATTTTTGCACACATTAGGAACACAAGTAATAGAAGCTAGTGAAACACGATAATCTGTAAAGATGTTCAAGTGAATAATCTCAATGAAAGCTCCAAAACTTTAGCCTGACCCAAAAAATATCTGTCCAAGCCATTTCCATTCCCATTCTTTCATACGGTTTTCAGAGTATGGTGGTCTTTACTTTCAGACAACTACTTCTGACCCTCAACAATTTTCTATTTCTGCCAGGCTTATTTTCTGTGATCTCCCTGAGCACATACATATGCTCACATCATCGCTCTTACTTAATTTTATAAGAATTAATACCATAACTATTACCTTCTGGTCTCTTTCTTCAATTGCTAGATCCACAACTGCCATTTGCGGCCAACCTCAAAAACTGTTTTACACACTACCTTACCATTAAGTGGCTGGTAGAACTACCATGAAGCCAGGCTTCTGGCATTCTACATACAGTATTTTGTAACTAAACCGTTACTTCTCTGGTTTGGGAAGTACTCAACTCCAGGACACTTGTTCCCAATGCAAGGTGAAGTAGTTTAGTATTGCAAGTCAATTTCTAGCTTCACACAAAGAGAACTAAACTCAGGTATGACAAGAGAAGCAACAAGTCACAAGAAGCTTTTATTACATTCTCCCTTCAAGAAGCAAGATCCTTTTTCTGTCAGCCTATTTGCAATGGCAATAAACAAACCTACATCTTTTAAAACGCAGCAGACGTCGTTTGAAAACAAACTCATCTCGTGATTGCTAGCCATAAAACGCCTAATGCAACCTGAAAGCAGTATTAGTGTGCTGGAGTAAATGTACAGAAATCTAGTGAAGATACTGGAGTGGATTTTTAACAATCCACAGAAATTGTCTAAATTAGCTACCTCAGTTTTTCTTTATTTACCAAGTTTGTTATGAAATGTATTAAAACAAACATTCTATTCAAGACTACATTACTGAACAGCAATAAATTAACCTTAGGTTATAGGCAGGTGGGTTGAATAGCTCAGACTACCCAGTTCTGCTGAGTTGTGGTAAGTCTCAATTTTAAGGAGACAAGAGGCAAAAAAAAACCCTCTAGTTCCTATGTAAAGCAGATTCCATAATTTAAATAATGTCAAGGAAAACTGTTCTGCTCCTAATATACAGTAATTTTAACTAGTCTTTAGAGAGGAAATAAATTCAGAACAAGCAACCTAATTGACCAAAGAAATGCACCGACTCTGACATATTCACACATATAAAAATGAAAATGTATAAATGGAAGATGATTTTTTGAAATTTGTTATCTAAGTAACATACTCTATTCAGCATTTATGCCAAATCAGGTTTAAAGCTCATAAACTAAGTTACAAGAAGAACATGCTGCAAAGCAACAACCTAAGAACGACGAAGTTTTAACTTAAATCTGAGATGAACATCTCATTTTCTACCTCAACTATTTAACCAAGTGTCTTAAATCACACATTTTACCAACATAGGAAGTCCCAAATAGTTCATCAGGATTACCTACAGCATACTGCAGGTGGACCTATACCTTCAAACCACCAATTTCAGAGATGAGAACGACCAACAAACATTTCCAGTAAGAAGCTTAGGGAATTGAAAATTATCTTGAACTACATCTAATTCTATAGATGATAATAAAATGCAAAAAATACTTAGTATAAAAAAAGATAAAAAAAGAGGCAGCCATTCCTTTGCAAGTGCCAAAAAAAAAAAACAAACCCACAAACATGCAAGGATGAAAGCATGAACAAGCGTTCTTACTTAAAATGTTCATTCTCCTACTCAAGTTCCCATGGCCACTCTGCATCTTCAGGAAACTCTTCTTCATTGCTAGTGTGCAGCTCTTGATTAAAAAAAACAAACACTACAAAAAAAAAAATCTGAAGCGATCTTTACATTTGCAAGGTCAAAAAATGTTGCTATCTAAGAAAACAGTTCACTATTTCAATCTTCCCTTTATTTGCTTTGTATAGCTAAGGGAATAAAGTTACAACTCAAATAAAAAATTAAAAAAAACCCACACCCACACTTCGGCTATTGACTTTTCTTTCTCTGGTTTTGAAGCAAACGTTCTGTTCTTTTAAGTGCAGTTTGCTTTAAACTTGATACTAATTATAACACCTTTTGACAAAATTTACTTTCCACAAGAATGGACCAGGCATGAAGAGGGTTCACCCAAGCCTAAGGTTCCGCCTGTCATTTACTGAAAACAAAAATAAACCATTACAGAAAGAAAACTAGGCCTCCTTAATTAAAGCCAGAGCTAACATGTATTCTTAGAAAATGAAGGGAAGTAAATGAAGAGCTGTGAAATGCAAACTCAATTATCTGCCTAACTAACTTCCTATCTTCATCATACTGAGTGAAGACAGCAGCTCGTTTTCCCTAAGATTTTAAATACAAAAAAAATTTTTTTTTTTTAATCTAAATTCCTAACTAGCTAACGAAACTACTGCATTAAATGCATCTGAAGGTTTAATGTCTCCCTTCAGTTTTAGAACATTGAATCAAATCACAACATTTTTCTCCTATGAAAACAAGGTCAGCTAAAATAAATACGATAAATGCTAAGCATATTAATAGACTTTTTTTGACCAATAGCTAGCACAGGAAATCATTTACTACAAATCAATAATTTCTGAAGTTGATTTTTTGAAATGGCTAAAAAATGTGAAAACAGATGAGGACTTAATGTAGTACTCTGTGAGAAGGGCAGAGTCAAAGTAACGTTCCTTAAGGACAGCGTAAACAACTGGTTCAGCAAAATGATGGTGTATTATCTCTACTATTTCAAAATGTTCAGTAACAACCACTGCAAAAAACAAGAACATAACTAATGTGAAAAGGAAGAACATAACAAATTTCATTTTTCAGGGTACTGTTTAAAAACATACCATTACTCAGCTCTGATTTAAGAACTTAACAACACTGGAGTACATAAAACAGAATTTGGTTTTAAAAGAATATTTTTATGTTAAATTAAATACTTACACAGAAAATTCTACTACATTGGTGCTACTCAAATACAAATTCCCATTATCCTAAACTTCAATAAACTTCTACTTAACTCATGTTTTCTTGAGAAAAGCCTATCACAAAATAAACAGCTCGTAGGACCACAGAGAGAAGAAACAGGAATTTGGGACTTACAAAATCTGAAGATGACTTCTGTGTTTCATAACAAGAAAAAGACATCTTTTTACAGGAAGAACTACAAAAAAAATTATTATGCTAGCAATGACTGCCGCCTTCTAGACTGACTGTTCTTGCTTCAGAATCATTGTTTCAACTGCCTTCTTTTTGACTGGGTGCAGCTTTCATCTCTGCATTTCAATCAGACAGCGTTGTAGGACAACCCTCAGAAGGCAGAGAAGCTATGCTCCCTCACTTTCACCATTTATTCCTTTGTTGGCTGAGAAATGTCACCTGTTAAGTTGAAGGAATCAGCAATTTAAGACCTGTATTTGTCTGACTGTAGGCAAGATATTTCAGCTTTTAAAGAAACCCCTAACATTTGGTAGCAGATGCTTCTGGTCTTGGCTATCTCATGGTATACTTAAAAAATAGCCTTTCAATGGGAACTTTCTCCTACATGTGCACTCCAAGGTCATGCAGTCCCTTAGAAGGACAGGCTACTTCCCTTTTTTCCTCCTCAGACTAGGGGCATGTTCTCTCTTGAAGGAATTAGCAAAAAGTCTTGTAACCAAACTGTGCGAGTAAGGAGTATATTGTAGAAGTATTGATGTACAGTCTGCATAATCTCCTTCAGTGGAATTTCAGGCCAATTAGACATACACCACTTGGGACTGCTCTTAGCATCTTCCATTCTGCTTCAGAACAAGGAATCAAAGCAGCTTTCCTTTTCTTGAGACCACATATGACCATTTCTCTGTCCTACTACTTCACATACTCCTATTTAAAATAACAAATTCTATAAAACTTGACTTCTGCGTGCTTAGTTAAACTGCGACTTTGCCAAATCCTTCATTTTATATTAACCAGCATTGTATTTTATGCAGTTATTCCAGGTTCAACTTTTAAAATATGTACAGATTACATTCTAACTTCACATTCAGACTCCCGCAGGACATAATCCACTTCCTAACTGAAGCCCACAACATGAACCCACTGATTTTGAAAGCACACCCAGAGCTATCCAAAGCCATCATTTCTAACAGAACCTTATCACTGGAAGTAATTATTTCTAATCTCCAGTGAACTGTATATAATTTTCAGAAGAAAGCTCGTAAAACAAGGAGATTCATTCTTCTACACTGACAAAGCCTAAAGCTGTAAAACCAGATAGTCTAGCCATAAAACCAATAAAGATTACTTGAATCTGTCAGAGGCTATTATCCCCTTCCCATGAATTAAAATACTGAAAAGAGCAAAATACAAATCTTTTCTTCCACAAGAGACTGGAGAACCAAAAGAAAAAGTATTCTGGGCTAGGCTCATTAAACAGCACTTTCATATTTCACAGTTAGCTTTAAATATGGCAGAGTAGGTTATAACCCAACTTTCTGTTTCTACATCAGTCCCTGAACAAGAGAGTCATTTCTGCTGGGTATGAAGCATTAACAACAACAAGAAGCCTGTGAAACTGATGAGATACTGTGGTCCATGTGTGTTACAAAACAACGTAACTTACATTAACAACTCGCATTAAGTAAGGCACATCCATATTCAGCATGCTGTACCCCTATAGCTAATTCACTTCCCTATAAGGCTCATTTTTTATTGCAACAAGCACTAACACGTTCTTATCTTTTTGTATCCCATAGTAATAAATTAAGACCAGTATTTGTATCCCAGTTGAGCTACAGATAGTGCTAAAAACAAGACACAATACAAAAAAATCCCAATCATTAATCAAAAACAAGAGTGGCAGAATCAGATCTAGAAAATTCCATCAGTACTGTCATGTCTTCAAGAAATAAATAAGGTGGTATACATACTTTTCTGCCTGGAGTTTTGTGGTTTTTACTATCAAGTCCTGGGTTTGTTCCTTTGCTGCCTAGAATACAATTAGAATCGTTAAGCATGTGAAAAACACAAATATATCAAATGTTACACAACCTGTAAAATATGTAACACTTTTGAAGCTTTCTGACTGTAAGCAGTTTCAAGAGTATACTCTTTGAAACAAAAGTCCTTTTTCAAACAAGTATGCATTAACTCTCCCTATCTTCAGGCATGAAAAAATAAATTAATATCCTTATCAAAATACATTTTCCTCTATATACCCTTACATTCACACAGTTGGTTTTTAATTTATACTTAATAACATTATTATAAATATTATAAATAGTTCTGATTATTTTGTTTGTCCATTGACTGTAAATTGGTCACTGTTACAAAATGAAAAATGAAACAAGTTCCTTTGGATGCTAAACGGCCCAGTGCCAGTGTCCATGCAAACACCAGACAACATGAATACAGCCCTGCTGGTCTAAGCAAGTTCAGCTCTACAGCCCAAGCAGCTTACAGGGCTGAAAGGACCACGAAAAATTATTAGGAAAAATTTCTTCACCAAAAGGATTGTCAGGCACTGGAACAGGCTGCCCAGGAAGGGGGTTGAGTCACCATCCCTGGAGGGATTTAAAAGATGCGCAGCTGTGGCGCTTAGGGACATGGGTTAATGATGGACTTGGCCGCGCCAGGTTAACGTTGGACTTGATGATCTTAAAGGGTCTTTTCCAACCTAAATGATTCTGTGATTCTAAGAGCAATGCACTTAAGCAGTTCATCGTAGCCTTAAATGTTCAGCGATGACCACACAAGGGAATCCATGCAGAAACAATTCTGCTAAACACAGCAGCTGCACCACTAAAGGGATTGCTGCAACTGAAGTTAAGAGTTGTGAAACTTATCACTCAGCAAGAAGATAAGAGACATCTGAATTGTTGATTTCCCACTGAATACCACCAGTGATCATTTGGTTAGAAAAATAAGATTTTTAACCACGTCCCACACCCCCCCGCCCCTCCTCCCCAAAAAAAAAACTGAAATCAGAACGCACTCAGTATGGAAAAATACTGCAAATGAGAAGGTAGAAACAGCTGAAAATAATTATGTTTCAAGACTGTAACAGGTCTAAATTATGACATTTGTCAAAAATGAAGATGCCAGTCTTGAAACCCATGAGAGGTCTAACACAAGTATACCCACACAGATTCACTTCCACCTGCCACACTGCATTAGTTACAATGGAAAAGCAGGCAGGGAACAGGAACACTTTGAAAGGTGAACAGAGGACTGCAACCACACAATGTCCATCATCAGAGGGAGCCTGAGCTGTTCCATGAACACAGACAGTGGGAACAGCTGAGCTGCCAGTTGCTGAATTTTCTAAAGGCAACTATTATGGACTAGCATGCAAATTAAAACCCAACACAATTTACTGAACATTTAGTAGTTCCAAAATAATTTGCAGTATCTTTAAGCTTGCTATATCTTATATAAAAGATAGTATTTAGATTTTTAATATACTTGTATATTAGACCAAACCTGAACTATTCAGTATGAAAACGTACTAATTCCAGACTTCCCCCTTCCCTCCCCTTCCTTCCGAGCTGTAGATTTTAATAAATCAGTAAGACAGCAGAAGAAATTTGCTTCCTTTCCAGTACTTTTTAGACAGAGGTACTAACTGCCAAGAAGAATGCTAACAGTAGGACAGCAAAAAAGAAGGAAACGCATTTTTTGCTGGATCTAGCTACATATATCAGGAAGCCAGTTTTTAATAACATGTATTCAAATACATGCCAGGCACTGCTATTATTGTATGTATGTAATATAAGAGCTTACATCTAATCAAAACAAGGCAACTGGCAGAAAAAGAGTCAGAAATGTCAAAAAAATTAGAAAATTGATGTTTCTTGCAGATGCAAAATAGAAATATTTTTTCCTCTTCCACCCCACCACAGCAGATTAATTAAAACTCAATATCCTTCAACCTTGCTTTATTCCATTCCAGAATTTGCCTCCTTCACTCCCTTTCAACGCCTGCATTTATCAAGTCGCTGTCCTGAAATCAGATCTGACAGTGTCTGGTTATTTGGATTGGATGGTATTATAAACTTACAAAACAAAAGCTAAAAAGCTTTTTGGCTTATTAATATATAGTCCTTTTCACATCTTGTATTTGTTCTGTTAGCCCACTTTTTCTGCTTTATATGCTATAGATACTCCTCTGTACATCTTATGTTTGTTCTACTCTTAGTTCATTTTTATCTCCTTGCTCAGCTCGAGTGCACGCTTGCAAGCGTTCACATCCTATTACAGATAAAATACCAGAGTATTTGACAACTGAGTGCTAGTTCATGGGCTTATTAACTTTCTTTACATTCATACAGACAAAGAAAACATGGGTTGAATTGAGACGAGTTCTACAGGGCTCTAGAGGAAACCTCATTTTGGGCACAGAACAAAACTACCTACCAACTTTAATAGAAAAAGAAATCACTGCAGGGTGGCTCTGCACTGGGAGGGGTGGGAATCAGAGATGATAGTTACACTTCATGATGTAAAGACAGAAAAGAGGAAAAATCTGCATGGACACTTGACTCATTTCCACATCTAAGAGTTTAATCAAACAGTTCCTGAACTGCACTAGGGAATACATCCACACTAAGTGTGTTCAAAGAGATCTGAGACCTCTGAGGTGCATTACCCATTGCCTTCCAACACTGAACATTAAGTACTGCAGTGTGCTACGCTGCACTCTTACACTTCTTGGAACAAGTTCATCTAACTACAAGTGTTCTTTTGGGAATTACATACAATAACTATGGAACCTCTTCATCTAAGTAGGGGGACATCAGAAGTCCCCAAACACACATTACAAGGTGAAAAAGCAACTGTTTCTACAGGATTTTTTTAGTGAAGGATTCTCACTTAGATGCTATATTCAGAACAGATTTGATTTTGCAAAACAGCTATACTTCAGCATCCACAAAACTCTTAAACTCATCACTGTACTGAATATTGAACTTGTACATTAAACCCAAGACAGATTTAGTAACACCTTATGAAACACAACTTTTCTTTTCCCCCTAGACTATTAGGGATTCAGCACTAATATGGAACAGAACTGGTTTTGTTGCTTATCAGCATTTTGAGACAATGTTATGAAACAAAATCAACAGAATGAAGATGGCACCCTACATTTATCTCCAACTTTGGATTACAAAACAGTTTAAGAATATAGTTGAGGTATTTATATGAACACATACCTCAACAGATGTAGTCAATGCGAAAGGCACATACATTTTAAATGGAAATACAGAGACATAATTAACCCTTTAATCTCACACATCCAAACTAATAAGATATTCTTTCCTTCACTCCCATACAAACAGCTACCACGCTGCTATTTTCCAAATAAATACATTTTTGCATACTGAATTGCAATTTGGAAGAAATTAAAATTACTTCCTCCATACATTTTTTAAATAAGTAAAAAGAAAAATATTAATATCCTAAAGTAACAAAAATACGCATACAATGGAAACATCTCAGTGTTGCTGTTAATTCTCCAAAATATATTTATACTTTTAAGAGCAAGTAATCACACTTCACAAGGAAATATATCAAAGCACATCTATTTCCACATTACCTTCAAGCGACTGGACATGTCTTCACAGCAGCTGCTCATTGCCTGCACATCTTCATTTATACTCTCAAGCTCCTAAGCAAGTTCAAATAACAGTAACTGTTATAAATCAGAAATGCCATGCCTAGGCCCACATCCATCACACCAAAATGAGACGCCCAAGTTACATGGTTGCCCTAAGCTCCTGTTAATCAATGGAGAGAATGCACCTCTAAAAATCAACGTTAAGTTGGGATTTTTATCTGTTTGAAACATCACCTGTCTCTGCGGAGGATTTTCATCAAATGGAACAAATGATGAAGCAATTTTACTGTAAAAGTGTATTTGTCCTGGAAAGTCAAAATCTCTCTTAGTCATTTTTTTCTTTTTTTAAACTTGAAATTACATAGCTGTACTCTCGTAAGACAGCTAGTCAGGCTGTAAAAACGTTACCTCTTTAACTTGCTTGAATATGTGGACAAATTCTTCATTTATGGCCAAGCTTCGTCGCTCGATGTCTCCACGCAAGTTTCTCCGGGTGCGCAGACTGTTTTCCACAAAAAAGGTTGAGAGAGCCTTGAGTGCTTCTAGCATTTCCTAGAAAATAAAAAGAAGACCTTAAATTTCCACACATTTACAAAGAAATAGGTTACACAGTCTGTAAACATTCCAAGTTCATGGTTTTAGAGGACAAAAACCCCAACACGCCTACTATGTGGTTTTAGGGGAAAAAACCTACCTAAACACACTCCTGGTCACTTGTAAAATAAATCAATTGCTGAGCTTTTCTTCTCTTATCACACAACATTGCCTACTATTTTAGAATAGCTTAAATCAGTAAGATTACATATGGTTAAAGCATGACCCATCCATAGCTAGAAAACGTTTAAATCAAAAAAAGCTTAAGAAATGCCCTCCGAGGTAAGCGATACAAACCTCCCCACGATTTGAAGGGAACGAACAAGTGCGCGGCATGTCCCCGGATAAGCAGAAAAATGAGTTTTATTTTTAATTAACGCTGCAAACGTCAGGTTGCAAGTCCGCAGCGGAACTGAGGGTATGACAGGGCTCGTTTCCCAATCCCGGAGCCTATCGCAGCTCGCTGCTCCTGACGGCTCATCCGGCCCATTCCCCCCCAGGACGCTCCCCGCCGGGTAGGCCC